TTTTTTTTTTTTTTTTTTTTTTTTTTTTTTTTTTAATTCTTTTTAGAAATGCTTGCGTGAGAACCAACAGTAAAGGACTGGACGTAAAATTCTAGACTCCACCCTCAGCATTAAAGTAAGATACCTTTTCTTTGATCAGTTTTTACCCTATTCCTTATACCATCAAGTTATACTCATCCTTTTCTCTGGTGACACATGGATAATGGAAGTATATTCCACAGGTCATGACATTATCAGCTGGAGAATAGTCACGAATCCTAGAAAGGTGTTCCCTCGATGGAAAACCTTGGATCCAAAATGAAGTTATTGGACCACAATTCTTCCAACTAACCTGCCTTGAAGTCATGTTAATGATTCAAAGCTCTTCAAACTTTGAAGATCATTATTTAAATCACGTCAGAAAGTGAGGACTGCTGTTGAACCTTATTTTCCAAGGTGCCTTCAGAGCAGATGGATTGATTTAGCACAGCTTTTATGCTGGACCACAACCCAAACTCAGCTGAAACAGTTCAAATTTAACTGTGGGATTCTCTCTTCTGCATATGTCTTTAGGTGTAAGTCATTGCTACACCTTACAGTACGAATGGCATCCCGGTGTGTTATGTAGCATTGTATAGTCTCAACATTAAAGCCTTTTAAGGGTCTGTACAGATACAACTGGAATCAAGTGTAGGTAACTTCTAGTTTGCTAAAGCCCCCATGTTAACAATTTGTATTGTAGTTATGACTTCTGTCACATATGTAAAGAGCAACAGAGAGAGTGTGTGCCGGTGAAAATCTGGGACATCTCTTCCCCGAAAAGCACCAGCTGTGCTTGTAGTCGACTGGTTTTGTCTTCACTTTACACTTTTGCTCATGTTAACAGATTCCACAAACATTTAAACAAACCTGGGGGGCGGGGGTGGGTTATTTCCATTAACAGCCGGCTGCTGTTGGTTTTCTCAAAAACAAGGGACTTTGTTGGGGATGACTTTCAGTGGTCGAATAATCCGCATTTTTTGCCAGAGAAAAACCTGTTTTTGTTTATACTTCATTTGGAATTAATTTCCAATAAGAAAAATGTTTCCTTCCATATTTTTACCTTTTTGTTTCACTGATGTGATTATTTTTCTTCATTAAGTTGTTTTTCCAGTGAAAAATATCCATTAACTTATACACACACACGATACCGGTGTTTGCTTACCACAGGAGTGCACAAAGCAAGTTTGGCATAGCCAGTGTGATAGGTGGCTCAAAATAAGCTAAAACCGTTTAGTTCTAAAATGTAAAAAGTTGAACTAATAGACGCTTTCAGCTGCTCCTCTATTTCCACAGAAGTCCCAAAACAGATGGATCCACATCACTTGGCACAGAATTTATGATGCAACCTCCCATTTGTCTGAGCTTAAAGTCCACAAACCTGGCCTAATGTTTCATTCACTATGACCTGAAATTAGCAAATCAGCCCACGAACTCACCAGGAAACAATTTAAAGAGGTCCAGGCAGACAGATATTTACACAGGAGCTTAAATCTTTTTTGTAACCATAACTATCGCCCCCTGGTGGCCAGCGAGAAAAAATATATAGGTTCAGGGCACTTTGTATTGGCTTCACCTTTCAGACCTGGAGTTTGAAAAGAGACTAAAGAGGACATTTGAAACACCAGCTGAGTCTCCATCAGCACATAAAGAAACTATTGATTGCCCCCACTTCAGTCAGAGACGTCACAGAGAAGCATGCAGTGAAAGGAAACACTGCAAATACCTGAACTCTGTTACTCACATCAATTCAGGTGTTAATCTATTTGTTTTGTGAAATTACATACAATTCCTTATGATCTTGGGGGATAAAAATCCTACAAGTAATATTTTTTTCTCATTTGTGCTCTGTTAGCTGAAATTCCAGCAATAAACACATTTAGCAGCTAATCAGCAGTAATGAAAAGATGAAAGTGTTGCACTCGACATTAATGTGGCCTTGTGGCACACCCGTCTGCTGCCACCATCTTTACATCATCAAACACTTCAAAACTAATGCTGGGCACAAAATTTCAACTGTGGAAATCTAACGTGCAGATTTTCTATCTGGAAAAGTATCGACTGAACTGAAGAAATTATCGACGGTGGGACTGAGTATGTGTGCTGTGCATCACAATGTTTTGTTCAATTTTGTTAACACCAGTGAGGTTTTTCTTGTGGTAGTGTTTTTTTAAAAACATTTTTTTTTAACTCTTTCTCTCATTAAGTTGAAATTTGTCATTTTTTTAAACCTGAGTAAGCTATGAGAGCAGTTGTATGAGCTGTAGTTTATGTTTTCTGTTATTCAACTGAATGAAACAGCATAAAGAGTTTTTGAATAAAGTGAGACATGTTTTCAACAGGCAGCAGGGGCAGCACGGTGGCACGGTGGTTAGCACTGTTGCCGCACAGCAAGAAGGTCCTGAGTTCAATTCCTCCATCAGGCCGGGGTCTTTCTGTGTGGAGTTTGCATGTTCTCCCCGTGTTTGCGTGGGTTCCCTCCGGGTACTCTGGCTTCCTCCCACCATCCAAAGACATGCAGCTTGTGGGGATAGGTTCATTGGATAATCCAAATTGCCACTAGGTGTGAATGTGCGAGTGAATGTGAGTGCGAATGGTTGTCTGTCCCTGTGTGTTGGCCCTGCGACAGACTGGCGACCTGTCCAGGGTGTACCCCGCCTCTCGACCTATGACAGCTGGGATAGGCTCCAGCGCCCCCCGCGACCCTGAAAAGGATAAGCGGAAGCGAATGGATGGATGGGATGGATGTTTTCAACAGTAGATGAGTCGATGTGGGCTTTTAACTGGACTGCTAGGATGAGTCAGGATGTTGGGTTAAATTTGATTTGGAAAATAACTAAAGCTGTCAAACAAATGTAAAGGAGTAAAAGATACTGAATTTTCTGCAATAAATCTTTTAAAATAACAGCTGTAAAAAGACTATAATCTTAAAATGTGAGTTTAAGGTTCACCATAATCCAGTTTGCATTTGTTCCAGGTTTGCTGTACTGCAACCTTAGAGATCATCATGACTACATTTGACTTGATTCACAGAAAGTCTTAATGAAGGAAGATTTACACCTTTCTTCAACAGGAAGAGGAAATATGTGCAGGCACCAACTACTGACAATGTAACACATTTAATCTCACTTTATAGGATTTCTGTTCCTTTTTCTGTCAAAGACAGAATTATCGATGAACATAATTTAGATAGACGTGTTTGGCAGTTAGCCTCCGATGGTCTGTCTGCGCAGAACGGACCCCAGCTCTGAAAGGGATTAGAGTAGGACCCCTAAGAGCCTAGATCCTGATGGTGGAGACGAAGGTGGTTTATATGGAGCCTGAGTGAAGAGGGGCAAAGAAGAGGAGGGGGTGGGTTGCACAAAGGCGTCTGTAAAGGCCAATGGCAGATGCAAGGTTAGATTTAAAGTATGGGGCATGACTGCTGATTGGTCTGGTGAAGGCGGAACTAGACCAGTGATAACACAAAGAGTTTGACAGTGTGGGAAAGTCAGAGTGATAAAGCTTAGATTTAGCTGGCAGCACACTCCAGGCCTCAAGGGTCAATGACCTGCAGGTTTTAGATCTCACCCTGGGTCAACACACCTGATTCAAATGATTGTTTCATTACCAGGCCTCTGGAGAACTTCAAGAAATATCGAGAAGGTCATTTAGCCATTTAAATCAGCTGTGCTGGATCAAAGATACATCTAAAACCTGCAGGACACCGGCCCTTGAGGCCAGGTTTTGGACACCCCTGGCATAGATCTTGGTTATGGAACTTCATTTATTTATTTATTTATTTATCTTCACACCACATTATGGCTTTATAAGTTCTACTCTGAGTTCTAGTAAATTTTATTTCACCATCAGTTATTTCATAATTTATGGACTTGAATCTTGCTTTAACTTTGGATTGAACTCTTTTATCTAAGACACAAAAAATGTTTACTGTATGTCAATAGACACCAATAAAACATGCATGAGACAGAGTTGGTTTTCAAACCTTTTTCCATCACTTGTCTGTCAGGCTCCTGTTTACAGATCAAAAAGACGAGAAAAAGGCCAAACCTCCTCAACCTGGTGAAACCAAACTACAGACGCTGGACCCAGGGCGGATTAGGACTACATGTTTGATATGGATACATCATAGATTCACAAGGTTTTCACTGTTAACCGTGCTAATTTCAGTTACTGCATCAAAAGCCCCAATGCACTAATCAATGGAGAATTTTGGATTGACCTCGAGGCGAACCAGACTGCATGAGACACGTTTATAGAGCAAAACTTTGTCATCTCTGCTATATACAGTACAGTATGTAGAGATGAGACGACGAGGCTCCAGTTCCATTCAGTGCAAAAAGAACAACAATTCATATAGGAAGAGTAGGAATAAATATACAATACAAGACTAAGGTAAGGGGAGTAAATATACACTTTGAGGTAAAAAAAAAAAAAAAAAAGGTTAATTTCAGTCTAACTTTACAATTTAGAATTGCGATTTAAAGTGACCTTGAAGTGGTTTAAAATGACCAACGTAGCAGCTTTACAGTTTACAGTATGAGTGATTTAAAGTGACCTTGAGTGAAATAAAGTCACCAACATAAGCAGGATTGAGTGTAGGATTGTAGGATGGCTCTAATGGCTGTAACGATAATATAGGATTATTTCTTTATTTTTCACACCGAAACATTTAATAAGAAAAACTTTAAAGTTAATTAAATATAGCTACAAACTAACATGTGGGCAAGGTTACATGAAACGAACTGAGCCTAAATTAGAAACCAAAACTAAAAGATTAAATCATTTGAATTAACTGAAAAAGAAAAAAAATGAGTCAGGAAATGAGTCTCAGTGCTGCCATATTTATCAAAATAAAATATCGAATGGCTTCAGGTTAGATTCGATTATTTGTAGGTACATTTGGTTTCCACTGAGCAACTCATCCATCTTAAAATGAAAAACTTTCATTAATCTTTGGTTCTCTTCCACAGCATGTTTATGTCTCTTCTTCATCCCAGCTCCCTTCATAAAAGGGACTTTTTCCTTCCCACTGTGGCCAAAGCACTTGCTCAAAGGGAGTAAACTGATTGCTGGGACAAAGGCTTTTACTTCTGCGGGCCGCCACTGTAAATAAGTATTACACAGAAGTACAGCCCAGGTCTAGTTCAAATTTAAAATTATACTGGTCCCATGGTTAGTCATGTATGCCACAGCTCAGAACACGAGGGCCTCTGACTACCACCTGGTCCAAATAGCACTAAACCCATATGGCACCTCCTGTTGGTGGTGAATGTCTGTAGTTTTCAATGGTTGCCACTTATTAAATACAAAGTGTATCACTGCCAGTCCAAAGGTCATAGCTATGTCATAAGAACCAGGTGTGACATTAGCTGACTCTTTACAGGGGTAAACAGTCAGAACTATGTGGAGCCTGATCAGGAAGAGGTTCTTTCTGTCTGTTCAGATTTGTTGTGATCCAATGGCAGCAAAGATTTTAGTCCTGCATGATCATGCAAATGTTTGGTCAGAGCAGATAATGAAGTGAACGGTTTTGCACATTGGTCACACTGAAATAGCTTATTTGCAGCGTGCGATCGTTTGTGTTTGGAGTATGAACTGAGATTCTTGAAGCTCTTGTCACACTGGTCACAGCTGAAGTTTCCTTCAATGTGTGTACGTTCATGATCATTACGAGTATTTGCACGAGAGAAGCTTCTGTCACAGTGTCTGCACTTGTATGGTTTCTCTCCTGTGTGGACTCGTTTATGAGCTTTAAGCTCACCTGCAGTGGTGAAGGATGACCCACACTGGTCACAGAGGTTCGTTTTAATGCCACTGTGAATGAGTTCATGGCGCTTTAATTCGCCTGCTGTGGGGAAGCCTTTCCCACATTCTTTGCAGTACTTGAGTTTGTGTCCAGTGTGTCTACGTAGATGTATTTTTGGGCTCCTTTGCCAATTGAAAGTTTTTCCACAAATGTCACAATGAAACGCTTTCCCACCACCACAGTGATGACAGGGTTGAGAACTGGATCCATCTGTGTCGCTCTGCTTCTAAACAAAGACACAAACACAGTCAGAGTCAGGGAATTTCTTCAAAATCTTTTTCCTGAAGGTTGCCTGAAATTAAGAGAATCTCTGCCAATGTTCAGTTACATTTTACTATGTCAGTGATAACTAAAAAGTAAAATATAGTTATTGTAGGTATACCAAACAGAATACAACAATAACACTCATGTACTTTCAACTACTGCGTTCACACCGAACGCATTAGAAGCAACCAGAGCTTCAGGTTAACATGTAAAGTCAATGGAGGAGCGTGATGAAGCGCGACTGGGGGTCACGTGAAACTTCAGAAGCAGATTTGCGTCGCAAAAAACACTTTTCTGCCTGATTCGCGCAAACAAGTAGCCTGACTGATGCGTTTGAAGCGCAAAGTAAAATATGCACTGCAGTTTGTGTGGTGCATTTTGTGCATTCCCGCTTATTGCGTCTACCGCTTGAGTTGGAAAAATCTGAACTCCAGTGTCAAGTCGCGCCGCGATAACCAATCAGGAGCCTCCAGGGCAGAAACAACGTTCTTATTTTTCTCCTCCTTCTCCCTGAGGCTCTTCCACTTTAAGCTGGGTCCTTTTTATTCCTGTCTCTCTGTAAATAGTTATATTTTATATATTCATGTTTAATGTTTTTCAGTTTGAGCATCTTAATATTGTCTCAAATAAATTTTTGTAATGACTAATGTGTAAAGCGTCCTTTACGCCGCTGCTCTGCTCTCCACGGTGAATAGAGAAGGGAGACCCTCTCTTCAAACGCTAGATCGACAGCTGCCATCTTGCAAACATACCGTCTGGCACTACTTCCTCCCACATTTCCGCTTCACGGGCGTGAAAATTGCATATTTTAAAGCGTGACCAGTTCGCTTTGGACGTGCTTCGAGGTGCGAATGCGCACACGACCAGTGAATGCACCGTTACTCTAAAATTGTCACTTGAAATAACAAACTTAATGTTTCTTTGCAATATTAATCTAATATTTTTACAATTATGTAGCAATTTAGTGTTACACTTTTATTTTCTTTATATTTCACCACTTTATCATCATTGGACAATGTCTTCGATTAGATTAGGTGGCACTCATGGGGATCTTTTTATGGTTGACATTTTTTATATGACCTCGTACAGAAGCTGAAGCGGAAAACTTGATCTCTGACAGTGGTTGAAATTCCCTCATAGTAAATCCCTCAGGTGCGTCAAAGATAACTAAAATGTGTTTTGAACGGAGACAGAAGAATTTGTGCCTCAAAAGTTTAGTTGTGGACAGTTTCTAAGGCCCACTTACCAGCTGTAATGGAAGTGTTATGACAACATTAATGTTAACAACCAGCAGTGGCATCACAGCCAAACAGCCTACTTGTGAGTAGACTATTTAGTTGTGGTTGTTTTTTTAAGTCTTATATCTTTATAATGACACTACAATTCTTTTTATTCTATGTAGACCAGACAGAAAATGAGTAACTGTAAACTCACATACAGCCACATTCTTACAGAAATAATCTTTTAATACCATGAAAGTGCCATTAGATAATACAGTTACATAAAGGTTTATTTTTTTGACCTAATCATGAAAGAAACAAAACAAAAAATGATATTGAAATGTGATGAATCTCCTGTACATACAGCATAGTTGCTAATATTGCAACAAAATTTAATAAGCAGAGTTGTTCAAACACTAAAACTACAAGATAAAAATGTAAACACATACCTCACAGTAACTGCACTTGTAGAGTTTCTTCCTGGTGTGGATCTGTTGGTGCGCTTTGAGGGAACTTGGATCTTTAAAAGCCTTATCGCACACGTCACATTTATAAGGTCTCTCTCCAGTGTGAGTGAATTTGTGGATTTTTAAGTCTCTGTTTGTCATAAACACTTTTCCACACTGTTCACAGTAGTACACATCCTCTTTGGTGTGAATGCGTAGGTGTGCATTTCGGTGCCCTACTTGGCTGAAGGTTTTTCCACAAACCTCACAGCTGTATGCCTTAATTCCAGAGTGGGCAACTTGATGAGTCCATAAGCCGCTACGGTGAGCAAAGACTTTACCACACTGATCACAGCTGTACTGTTTAACGCCACTGTGGATACGTTTGTGCTCTTCCAACCCTTCTTTCCGAGAGAAACACTTCCCACACTGATTGCAAGTATGTTCTTTAACTCCACTATGAATGAGCTGGTGTCTTTTTAAACTTCCAGGCTGTCTAAAAGACTTCCCACACAAGTCACAGCTGAACGGTCTCTCTCCAGTGTGAATGACTTGATGTTTTTTTAATGAGACCTTCCAGGTAAAACCTTTCCCACAATCGTCACAGGTGTATGTTTTCTCTCTCTTTCTTCTGTGAGGTTTGTCAGCCTCCTGAGAGCGCCGACTTCTCGCTCCATGTTGGTCCTGCAGTGACAGAGATACAAACAGAGGCAGTGAGTGAAATGCAGTCGTGGAACAAACTCAACCTTCAAACTTCCTCCATTAACACGAGCTTTAAACCTGATGTTGAATCATGGCAGGTTCCAAATACTTTGTGGATTACCCCAACCTTCTGGTGACAGGAGCATACTTTACTATCAATTATTCATTTTTCCATAACTTAACCATTAGAATATCTGTAAATGGCTATACCTAGTGTTTAGATTGAGATATTAATTAAAACTATACCAGACCCCTTATGACAAAGAAGCAACTAAAAGTGGTAAATATCATCTCTCTTATGTTTCTCATCCCCACCCAGAACAAGCAGTAATTAGTAGAGTGAAGCTGATTAAAGCAGGATTATCACGATGCTACAAACTCAATCTCAATACCCAGAAAATTACCTGACTGCCAGAGGGAGGGGAAAAAGAAAATCAGAACAATACTGGACCATGAAAACGTATCCAGCTACTATCCTGTTTATTTTCTCTACTTCTAATCATATTTCACTGCTGATCAGCTGAGAGCTGTTGGGTGGCACTCCACTGTTTTAATCCTATGATATTGTCGAAATGGGAGCTTTAAAGACTTCACAATATTTCTCATAAAGACCAGGGCTGTCACTCTGAGATGTTTGTAGATCAGATTATGTTTAAATGGGAAATTATTACATTTAAAATTTGGGGGTTTAATATGAATTTCAATTTTCTTAATCTGCTATTTTAGTGTCCTGTTAATGTGTGATCTTCTTATTTCATCTATTAACTTGATTCTTGTTTGTATAGGTATGAATGTGTAGCCTGGGGCTAACACACAGCAGCCGATGTGGAACCAGCTCCCAGTTTAGATTTGGGAGCCGATGAAGTGCACCCAGATTCACCAACAGAGAAACTGATATTTTTCTCACCTTTTCTGCGAAACTCATTGTTTCCTTTGTAGTGAATCAGCTGAGACCAAATAGCTGAAAATCTTTCTCTGCTGCTCCGTCAGACTCTTCTCCTCCTGCTGATCAGCTGGGACAAAGAACAGATTTTTATTAGACAACGAGACTACTGAGAGGGACTACAAAGAGAGAGAATACTACACTGGCGTCCCTTCATTGACTCTCTGTTAAATCAAGAAGTGAATTTTAAATCTTCCTCCTCACATACAAGGTCTTGAATAATCCGGCCCCATCTTAATGACCTCAAAATACCATGTTTCCACTGCAGACCACTTTGCTATCAGACTGCAGGTTTACTTGCCGTTCTTATGATATTTGAAAGTAGAATGGGAGGCAGAGACTTCAGCTTTCAACCTCCTGTTGCCCCTCTCTGCTGCAGAACTAGCTCCCAGTTTGGATTTGGTAGGCAGATTCTACTTTTGAGATAAGCTTCACAACACTCATCTTTGATCAAGATGGATGTCAGTGTAAACTTTTTACATCACATTTAGCCCGAGATTGAATTTTGTGTCATTTCTATACAAAACCTAACACAAGTATAAAAAAGTGCTTTTCATAGGTTTTTTGAACCACAGAACTTTTTAGCCTGAAACACAGTTTTTTGCAAAGTCAAACTTTAGTGTACCCATTGTACGACAAGGCCCAGACATTTTTCTTTCCTTCTCGGTTTTGTTACTTTAAAATGATGAAATGATGAACCAAAAGTGCATTCATGCCTGTATTTCCCGAATAAAAACTCGAATAACAAAAAACTTACTTAAAATTCTCCTGTTTAATAAAACTTATAGTTAATGTTGGATCAAGTGACCCTGAATGCTTCATTAGTTATGCTGCAACAGGCTCATGCTGCTAAGGCCTTCCCATGATGCAATGAGCACGTCTTCAAACACCTCTTTTTTTAATCCACATGTGTTAATGTGTCACTGCTGCGTTCTTTGTTATTATTAAACTCGGTGTGTCTTCTGTCCCATCTCACCCCTCCCATAGCACATTGGTGCATCTCCCTGAGTCTGGCGGACATGCACAAACACATGCACATGCTCAGTGGAGTTGCAGCTTCTATGTGAGGCTTTATTAATTGCTCTTTGGGGATAAATAAAGTCTTTCTGATTCTGATATAGCCTAAAAGACAGAATGTTTGCACACATTAACCAGATTTGTGTAGCTAGCTACAAAGAAACAGTGAATATCAGCTTCCTCTGTTAAGCTGGGCTTTTACTCCTAGCTCTGTACATGCTCACAAAAACAGGCATGTCGGGCATCAAAATGACCCCTATGAGTGCACAATACTCTAATAAGCGACCTTATCAGACGGTGATACAATGCAGATGACAAGTCTGTAAAGAGAATCAAAGTGTAACAGTAAAATTGCTACATTGTTGCACATAACACGCTCTTCATTTGTAACCTCACAGCTGTCCAGTAGAGCCCTCAAACTTTAAAATGGACACATTTAAACATTTAATGTTATTTAGGCATCCTGCCACAAAATATGACCAATAATTTTAACAACTGCTGCTATCAAGTAAAAATGTGATATTTCCAAGTTGGGTTTTAAAAATTTAGTAACTCCCCTGCAAACAACCTCCCTGGCTTTTGGAGTATAGATAGCCGAGTTCCCCAATTTCAGCTTAAGCCTAATTTTCTCCAGGCCTCAACACACAGACCGCAGTCACCGGTGCATGTCTTTCTTTCTGTCTCCTGCAGTTTGTGTTTTGTCTTATGTGTTGTTACTGGTATCTCTATTCTCTCCTCATCACTCTCACTGCTGTCTGCAGATCATTTTAGGAGTTCAGTTCCTCTCATGTGTTCATCCACAGCAGCTGGACAATAAAGTTTATTGTGACCCTGATACTGCAGCAGATCGCTCTCATCCATTTCCTGTTGTCACTTCAAATAGAAACGAGGCTGTAGAGGTTTGGTGCAGGCAGAAAAACAGCTGCAGGGACAATGAAAAGACTTTTCTGCTCCAACTTCTCCCAGCATGCTGAGCTAATGATTAGTTGGTGTTTTTCTCCAAACACTCTCTCACTCTTCTCTCAACGTGTTCACAATAAACTGTGAACAGACACCGAGGAGAGCAGCAGAAGACCTCATTCAGGAGCTAAACTCAACATGAACTGAACTCACAGTAAAGTTAGCTCGGTGCTTACCTTTAGATGAGCCCACAAACCGAGAGAAACCCCGCGATGAAGCTGCAACTCTTTCCAAACACAGGAAACGGAGCAGAGACCCACGTGGTTCACGCGGTTGTCAGGTGCGATCGTAGCTACAGGTGACGCCACGCGCTGTTTTCTGAAGCCGTTTGAAAGCATCGGGACGAGCGTTTCCGCGGTCGCCATCTTGGTGATAGAAAACCCACGTAACTTTGGAAGCACGGATCTCGCTGTGAAACGGCTTGCTCATTGGCTAATAATTTGTGATTGACAGGCTCCTATCCAATGAGCATGCGGAGAATATCAAATCCGATTCTTCTTATTAAAATACGGTATGACCAAGGTGATCCCTCAGGGATGGAGAAGTGAACTTGATTGAACTGTGATTAGCAGAGTCGTAACAGCTTTGGCATCTGTAAGAGCCAAAGTCAATGTTTATGTTTTGCTTATTTGTTACGGTGGCACAGGTGTATAGCTTTACCTGCGTCTTAGGTGATGGCATGTGGGTGTGGTCACAGTCTATTTACCTGATGTCGGTGTTCGCAGCAGGTGTGTTGGGTGAGTGGATGTGGGCAAACTTTTCTGTTGAGCGTCATTTTTTGGCACACCGGTTAATCCATGCGCTATTTGTAAATTGATTGAAAGCGCAAACGTTTGTTTTTGTTTTGTTCTTAAAATAAATGCGCAAAGTACAAGTTCGACTCATTATGGATTATTGGAGGCGCGTCACAGGGACACAACCAACTCAGCCGGCCGCGGCTTTATTTACGGATGAAAGTCGCAACAGTATCGATCTGATACTGAGTTACTACAGGACGGGTATTACTGATGCTAGTAAATGCAGCTTATGCGGGCTCCATATTGTGTCATGATTTCTGAGATTAATTATCTTCAGTTTACAAATTATGAACACATACACCAGTTTAGCCTCTGTACAAAACCACAGCGGATTTCCAATCAAGTGCAGATGTTTAATTTACTTCAAACACAGTCCCTATTTCCAGAGGCTTAAACGTATTAATTAAGGACTATCCCATTTCATTCCCCACAGTTTTTTTGAATGAGACATTCACTGACCCTGTCTGAAGTGACCCGAAGTCACCTGCACATCTGTTTGGTCTGCTTTTATATGAAGTGCATGAACCATCACTGTAACCAGTAACGGTTTTTGATACGGGCGGTTGCCCTGGTGGGCATCGGCAAAAATAAATAAATAATTGCTCGTACTCATGCTGCTCCAACATCACCCAGCGCATATTGGGAATGGCATGGGCACCAATCGGTTTTCTATCGCCCATTTGCTGGGAGTAAGGGCGCCCTCCGTTTGCGAGGGGCGCCTGCTGCTTGCGGCACAGAGAGGAGAGGGCGGGGCGGCGGGGGATTCTCTGACCGGCTGGAGCAGCATCTAATAACCGACTCGCAAAATAAAAACAAATCAACAAACACTAAAACACCAGACATCATGATACAGACTTATAATTTGCACCCATGGTTTTCCTCGGTGCTCCTGCTCGCTGCTGAAGTCAAAGTAAACTTTATTGTCATCTCCGCTACAGACAGTCCAGAGAGACGAGACGACGAGGCTCCAGTTACAGCAGTGCAAGTAAACAAACAATAAATATAAGAAGAGTAAGAAAATGAATATACACTTTAGGAAAGTCTCACACACAACCCATCGAAAGGGGCGGGGCCGGCTGCTTCCAGGTAGAGCACATTTCATTCATAATGATGTAAATCCAAGCCTATTATGGATTCATAACTTGAATCCTGGGTTGTGTGAAATCCCAGAAATAAAACCTACACAAAGTGAATCTGTGAACTAAGGTGTAGGTAGGTTATGTTGTGGTGATCCTCGAGTTGGTGGATTTGTGTTCATACTGCAGTGCAAAATTAAAACCAATGTACAAGAAAAGTTCAAAGCCATCAGGTGCTCAGTTTAGAAAAAATAGAAAAGAAGAGAAACGAGCTACAGGTAAGCAGATGTGTGATTGGATCATGGCAGCTCATCCTGAAACAATCAGAGTCAGAATACTTTATTAATACCTAAGGAAATAATGTGCGTTACAGTTGCTCCAAGAAGAAATGGTAAAAATAGCAACAGATCACAAGATTTCTACAAGCAATCAGAGTGAAATTTGTACTTTGTGTTGTCAGATGAACATATGAGACACTTTGACTCTTCAGTGCAGTGTGGAGCCTAACAAAGATCTGTTTTGTGTCCCAGCTGATCAGCAGGAGGAGAAGAGTCTGACGGAGCAGCAGAGGAACATTTTCAGCCATCTGGACTCAGCTGAGTCACTACAGAGGAAACGATGAGCTCAACACAGGTGTGTGTGTGTGTGTGTGTGTGTGTGTGTGTGTGTGTGTGTGTGTGTGTGTACGCACACTCGGGGTCCAAATGTGGTATAGATAATCTCTGTAGCACACTCGGACCACCCATAAAGGGTTAATGGAGGGAGTTCAGTTTGTTCCACGACTGCATTTCACTCACTGCCTCTGTTTGTTTCTCTGTCACTGCAGGACCAACGTGGACCAAGAAGTCAGCGCTCTCAGGAGGCCGACAAACCTCACAGAAGAAAGAGAGAGAGAAAATACAGTTGTGACGAGTGTGGGAAGGATTTTACCATTAAAGCTTCCCTAAAAATGCATCAGGTCATCCACACTGGAGAGAGACCGTTCAGCTGTGAAGAGTGTGGAAAGTCTTTTACCAGTCGGAACTTAAAAACACACCAACTCATCCACACTGGAGAGAGACCGTTCAGCTGTGGAGATGTGGAAAGTCTTTTACCCAGTCTGGAAACTTAAAAACACAACTCATCCACACTGGAGAGAGACCGTTCAGCTGTGATGAGTGTGGAAAGTCTTTTACCCAGTCTGGAAGCTTAAAAAACCACCAACTCATCCACACTGGAGTAAGACGTCAGCTGTGGAGACTGTGGAAAGTCGTTTACTCAGCTAGAGCTTAAAATCACATCACCACCACATGGAGTTAAACGTACAGCTGTGATCAGTGTGGCAGAGCTTTTACTCAAGTAGCAGCTTACAGAGTCATCTAGTTACCCACTCTGGGATTAAAGCATACAGCTGTGACGTTTGTGGAAAAACCTTCAGCCGGAAACAGAACCGAAATACACACCTACGCATTCACACCGGACATGATGTGTACAGCTGTGATCAGTGTGGTAAACTATGTTTATCAGGCACACAGTTACAACGCCACATGTTTACCCACTACTGAGGAGAGACCTTATAAATGTGACTTGTGTGAGAAGACTTTTAAATCTCCACATTGACCTGAAACACACCAAAGATCCACACAGAAAGACTCTACAAGTGCAGTTACTGTGAGGTATGTTCTATATTGTTATCTTGTCAACCCAACTGTTTGAAACAACTTGTATTAGCATGTTAGCAATTTTACTGCATGGAAAAACACCTCTGAGTGATTATTCAAAAGTGTGTGTAAAGTGTGCGTGCTAGTCCCCATAGGGAAATAGTTCCTCTGCATTTAACCCATTCACCCAGTGAAGCAGTGGGCAGCCACCAGTGCAGCGCCCGGGGAGCAGTGTGTAGGGATGGTACCTTGCTCAGGGGTACCTCAGAGTAGCCGTTCAGTGGAGTCGAACCCCCAACCTTCCGATCATGGGGCCACCACTCTACCTACTGAGCTATC